TTTTTTTGTTGTCATTTTTGCCTTATGTTCCTTCTTTGCTGTTTTTTGTCATTTTAACCTTCTTTAAAAATGTTTGCAGAATATTTTGGTCATTTTAAGCCTTATTTAGATTTTTTGGTATATTAAAAACAAAAAAAATCCATCCCTCCATCAGAGCTCCTGTCCAGCTCTCTGCTGGATCTGCTCCTCTTTCTGAAGGACTTTCAGATCCTCTTCATCTGCTGGATCACAGAGTTTTTTAGGCCCAGCTCTTCTTCTTCTTCTGTCCTCCTCTGGTCCAGTTTCCTCAGATGTTTCCAGGACTCTGCCCAGTTTTAATCCTTGCTTTTTACTTTTTTTTTGCTGTATTTTATGCTGTTTTTGCTTTAGTATTTGATAATTTTACCTCTATTTTTTCTTTATTTTGGTCAGTTTAGCTCTATTTTTGCTTTTTATTCTAGTATATTTGGTCATTTTAAGCTTTGTTTTTGCTTTTTTATTGTATTTCTTTGGTCATTTTTTAGGCCCAGCTCTTCTTCTTCTTCTGTCTTCCTCTGGTCCAGTTTCCAGATGTTTTCAGGACTCACCAGCTGAGATCTGCCCAGTTTCCAGCAGCAGCTCTTTGGGAATCCTCAGAACTCCTGTTTCCTGTTTCTGTCTGATGGGTTTTCTGTGGCCTTTTTCCTCCATCAGCTCCAGAAATGGAACAGATGATGATTCTCTGTGACAAAGAGCCTGAAGATCCACTTTAAGCTGTTGCTCTGCTGTAGGACGCAGAGGGGCTCATCCCTTGAGTTGTTTCTTGATTTTCAGCCAACAGCTTGTTCGGAATCAGCTTGTTGCTTCCTTCAAAAACCCTGTTTTCTCTCTGTATAGTATGAAACAGCATCAACAATTTGAGCCTTATCTGTTAAAACTAACTTATCTTCCTTCTTTAAGGTCACTCCTGGAGGCATTTTTGCATTAGATTACTTTAGAATTAACATTTAAATTGATCAAATAATCAATTTTAATGTATTTTATCCTGTCACTGCAGCAATCCATGTAAGGAAAAACCCAACATGGTGCCACTGTGTGATTTTCCCAGACCTGTATCTGTCTCTGTTGGCAGAGAAAGACACTCAGCTACACAGGGGGTGAGATGATATCATATTATCTTTAATGTGAGGTGGCAGAAAAAGGAAAGGGTCTGGATTCTCTGGAAGAGAGGGCTGTCAACTGTACAGCTACCTGCCCAGCCACAAGCCTGTAATATGCCTCCATCAGGTGTCTGAACGCTCCGGTTATAAATACCCGCCATTACGGAGAGGTTGCCAGGGGACACGATGAACACACACACACACACACACACACACACACACACACGTACACACACATACACACCGAAATAGCCCCTCTTCAGCCGGCAATCACAAGTAAATGTTCTCAAAACACAAGTAGTAACTTCTCCTGAAAGCCGATATATGGATCTGGTGGAGTGTAAAAGGCCTTGGTGATGCTTTCAGGGCCCATCTGACAGGACGTGCACGTGCACGTGGACGTGCACGTGTGGGGGGCGTGCACGTGGAAGAGTAGCGGGTCCATGTCCAGCTCAGGGGCAGGTGCCCCCCCCCTCGATCGATGGCCCTTGCTTCAGGTTTTAATTAGCTAATCAGGGGAACATGGGCTTTTAAACACGGCGTCAATACCTATTAAAGGCTGCCCGCCATCGCTTTTTATGGCGCTAACCTCCAACTTAG